CATCTACATTCGGGCCTAATTTGCGAAACAAAAGCTACAAGGAAACCCCGGGACTCTGGCTGTGTGACCCCCCCCTCTTTTCCCTCTTTCCCCCTCCCTCTCTCCCAAAACACAGCAACATTGGAGCCCGCAGGAGGTAAGAGTCCAATGGAAATGAGCAACCTGGACAACAATAGAGCGGCTAATCTCTACAGAGGGAGGCATCGGTTACACAGGGACAAGGCAAACCCCCCTCCCACCCTCTTTCTCTCTCTCTCCGTCGCTCCCTCCCTCCTCCATCCCTCGCTCCCTCCGCGCTTTCTGGGTCCCATTGTAAAGGCCGATCCACCCCCGGCGATATGCAAGCCTCATACATGCCGCAAACAAGATAGGGACGACACGGGGAGGCACTTTGTAGCATTATTTGAACACAATAAAACAAGCGGAGAATAAAAAGAGCTATTATGGGATGTTTTCAGCGCGGACAATGAGACGCGGAGGCGAGAAACGTGTATTTAAGGCAGCAGCGTCAGATCTGTGGAGAGGCTGACGACTGCGTGTTTCAAAGTGTTTCAGGGCAATGTTCAAATCTGTAATTGGCTATTTGCGAGATAGATGTGTTCGTTTTCATACTGTAGGACATTCCAGGCATCTCCATGGAGACAGGCGCCCTATGTCAGAAAAGTTACACAGTGCGCCTTTAATGATGTCATGAAGAATAAACCGCAAATGTTAAATCTGATATTGTGACGAGGTTCTAAATTTGTATCTGATGATCTGATGTGGGTTTAGATTTGAAACCAGAAAAAAACAGGTCTGGAACAGGAGTACAGTACAAACTAGGACTATCCCAGATCTAAAACCAGGTCTGAAACAGGAATACGGTACAAACTAGAACTATTCTTGATCCAAACCAGACTAAAGCAAGTCTGAAACAGGAGTATGGTACAAGCTAGGACTAATCCAGATCTAAACCTGACTAAGATCCAAACAAGATCTAAACCTGAATGAAACCAGGTCCAAACTAGGTCTAAACCAAGACTATACCAGGTCTGAGACATGAAGTATAAAAAAAACTAGAACTATCCTTGATCTAAACCAGACTAAACCAGGTCTGAAACAGAAGTACGGTACAGACTACGACTAATCCAGATCTAAAACTGACTAAGATCCAAACCAGGTCTAAACCTGAAAGAAACCAGGTCTAAACTACATCTAAATCAAGACTAAACCAAGGGAGTACAGTACAAACTCGGACTATCCCAGATCTAAACCAGACTAAAAAGATCCAAACCAGGTCTAAACCTGAATGAAACCAGGTCCAAACTAGGTCTAAATGAAGACTAAACCAAGTCTGAAACAGGAGAACAGTACAAACTAGAACTAACCCAGATCTAAACCAGACTAAACTTGGTCTGAAACAGGAGTATGGTACAAACCAGACTCTCCCAGATCTAAGCCAGACTAAACCAGATCTAAAACAGAAGTACAGTACAAAGTAGGACTAGCCCAGATCTAAACCAACTAAAAAGATCCAAACCAGGTCTAAACCTGAAGGACACCAGGTCCAAACTAGGTCTAAACCAGACTATACCAGGTCTGAAACAGGATTAAACCTGGTCTATGGTTTCAAAGTATTTCTGAGCAATATTTAAACCTGTAAATGACTATTTGCAAGCTAGATAAATTCAATTCTGTACTGAACTAAACCAGGTCTGAAACAGGAGTACAGTACAAACTAGAACAATCCCAGATCTAAACCAGACTAAAAAGATCCAAACCAGGTCTAAACTTGAATGAAACCAAATCCAAACTAGCAAACTAGGTCTAAACTAAGATTATACTAGGTCTAAAATAGGACTAAACTTGGTCTAAACCAAATCTAAACCAAATCTAAACCAGATCTAAACCAAAAAGAAAAAATAAACATAAGGTCCCAGGAAATCACAAGTGGTGGATACAGTTTGGGGAGGTCTAAACAGGACTAAACCGAGTCTAATCTAATTCTATACGAGGACTAAAACATGTCTAAATGAGGACCAAAGTAGAGCTAATCAGATCCAAACCAAGCAGAAACCATTAAATAAACCAGGTCCCGGTCTAAATCAGGTTCAAACCAAGTCTAAATCAGGACTATAAACCCGGTCTAAACCAGAACTAAACCTGTTAGTGTGAAAAAAATCTAAACATAAGGTCCCAGCACAGCCCAAGAGGGAGCTTCAGTTTGGGCTTGTTGCTTGTAGGCCTCAAAAGCCTTGGATTAGAGTAAATGTGCCCTCCCTGTGTCTAATCTCTTCACAGGGACTTTGTGTTGGGGGCTTGGGGGCAGCCTGATAAGTATCTATTACAGAAACCCCCTCTTATCCCCTGCATCCCCTTCAAAAAAGCTTCAAAAAAACACAGGACAAAACCAGCAGAGCCCTCTCCTGCTCCGTGTACTTCTGTCCCTGTGTGTTGTGTGCCATCTAAGAACCAAAGCAAGTGCTGGCCTTTTCACATAATCTGGAATTAGGCTCCAAATCCTATGGAAGGGAGAGCCCGGCCATATTTAACCCATCTGTGGCACCCCGAGTCAGGTACTTTAAAGGCACATCAAAGCAGGATTAGAACAGGAATTATCATAAGTTTGAGAACAAGAGAAGAAGCTGAGTTTGAGCAGCAAGCAAGAAGTCGAGTGGGAGTGAGGAGAAACTGATTTGGGATGAATTAAAAGACGTCGTGTTACTTTTTAACATTCGCGCACGCCTTTAAAAATAGTTACCGTATTTTCCACACTATAGGGCGCTCTCAGAATGGTCTATTTTCAAACTTTTTTCACAAATAAACCACACCGGGCTTTAAATGAAACACAACAGTTAGATGGGCAGTGTTGGGAAGGTGACTTTTAAAATGTACTCCCCTACAGATTACAGATTACATACTCAAGAATGTAGGTTGTAACGTAATCCATTAAATTACTTAAAGTGAGTAACGTAATCTGAATACTTTGGTTTACTTAATTTGCTGTAGAGAAGCAAAGACGGAGATACTTAACCGTATTAAAAATATTATTGATAAAGGAGGAGGAGACACGTCCACACAGCATGATTTAGTCCTGTTAAATCCTGTTTTAGTGCTGGTTTAGTCCTGGTTTAGATCTAGTTTAGACCTGGTTTTAGTCCTGGTTTAGTCCTGGTTTAGACCTAGTTTAGATCTAGTTTAGATCTAGATTAGACCTGGTTTAGTCCTGGTTTAGACTTGATTTAGATCTAGTTTAGACCTGGTTTTAGTCCTGGTTTAGATCTAGTTTAGACCTGGTTTAGATCTATCTTAGAGCTGATTTTAGACCTGGTTTAGATCTATCTTAGAGCTGATTTTAGTCCTGGTTTAGATCTAGTTTAGACCTGGTGTTAGTCCTGGTTTAGATCTAGTTTAGACCTGGTGTTAGTCCTGGTTTAGATCTAGTTTAGACCTGGTGTTAGTCCTGGTTTAGACCTGGTTTAGATCTAGTTTAGACCTGGTTTTAGTCCTGGTTTAGATCTAGTTTAGACCTGGTTTAGATCTAGCTTAGAGCTGATTTTAGTCCTGGTTTAGATCTAGTTTAGACCTGGTTTAGACCTGGTTTTAGTCCTGATTTAATACTGGTTTAGACCTGGTTTAGTTTCCAGCAATGAGTGGAATTACCAAAAAATAAATAAATTCATTAATAAAAATTAAAATAATGTGAATACAGGAAAACAGGAAAATACATGCATAATCCATTTATTTCAACAAAGTAACTGTAATCCAATTACCACTCACTGAAACAGTAACTGTAACCGAATACAGTTACTCATAATTTGTACTCTGATTACGTAACTCCAGTACATGTAATCTGTTACTCCCCAACCCTGTAGATGTGTGAGTGGTTTAGTTAGTTTGTGGCGTTCACGGTGACTCTGGGCTTTGTTCAGTTGTGGTGTGTAGGGAGGCTGCTGGTTTCAATCGTAAGCAGCTAAACTACATTTATTTAAAGGGCCCATATCTGTTATAACAGTTTCTTCATCACAAACATACCTCAAGTTGAGTTTTGTTTCATTTACACATGTTTAACGCACAAACTCCGCATATTTCTATTTTTCACTCAAATGAAAAACACTCTGTTCCACCTTATGATGTCATGCTGTGATACAGGAAGTGCTCTACTGTGTTTTTAAACTCCATACACCTGCACTAGAATCATTTGGATCATTTCAGCCTGGGAATGACCTACACTGTAAACACAAATAAGTTACCAGAACTCAAAAAAATTGAAGCAATCGATTGTTGATTAACTCAAAAGTCACAATCTTCCAGAACTTTAAAGGTTGTACTTTTGATAACAACTGAATTAAAAGTGCTCAAATATTTGCAGTGGATATGACTCATAGTTTTCTGTTAAGGCAACTCAATTATTTTCATTTATTAAAACGTAAAATTGGGAGTTTTCAAACAAATGGAATAAGTTCACTTCTTTGGTGAAACGCTTTGAAATTGTTTGTATTTTAACATGTACTATATACATTAATTTTATTTTGAAATAATCTGTATTTGAACTTTATCATAGTTGTACCTTTACTATGTTTTAAAGTTACACTCACTTATACTTTTAATCAAAACATATAAGTTAAAATGACTCAAAAAGAAGAACATGTTACAGCAACTTGACATAATTAAGTTACTAGAACTATTTCTAAAACTTTGACTATCCACAACTTACTCTTGTTAATTACTTTGAACATTTGGGTTTACAGTGTAACTAAAGGTAAAAAGGACAGAGCTTTTTGAGCTGTGGAGATACACAGACTAATAATAAAAAGTTACTCAAACATGTGTGAATGAAACAAAACACAACTCCAGGTCTGTTTTCGAGGAGGTAACAACATTCTAACAAGGCTTAAAGCTCACAAGAGTCCATTTTTGCATAATATTGGACATTTAGAATTAATTCCTTCACATGGCAAGACAGATTTTGAATAAAAAAATAAATAAATAATGATAATAAAAAAAGAGTAAACACAATGTTACAAGTTTACAATGCATTTTATTATCAAAATATATTCATTAAATAAATACTGTGCAAATAGTTGATAAGGCAAGTGTTTCTTTTACAATCTTATAGCGATGTAAACAAGAGATTACATTTTCTTTCAGTGAAATTACCACAATAAAAAACCTGAAAAGATCTGTAACGGCGTCAATATCAAGGCGGGTCAAATGCAATGAGCCCAATTAGCTGAGACGAACAACAGGGGCCATAAATCAGGGGACAAAAGCCAAAAGTCAATGACGCAAGAGTGAAATCACAACAGAAATCTGCAGAGAAGTCGTAAAAGTACTTGTAACAGATTTAAAACAACACGGTTTTCAAACGAGGGCAATAAAACAACCGGCATACACTGTAAAAGTTGCACTGAGAACTTATTTTAATTTGAATAGTTTTGACAAGTATTTGGTTGGTGGGAGTGGGGGTTTACATCTCCACAGATCTGACCAGTAATTTGGCCTGGTGGTGTCAATCGTTGGTCTCTGTGGAGGTACTGAAGTTTAATGTCATACTGTGGAACATTCCAAGCAATCGATAACATCTCCATGGAAACATCTCCACCAAAATGACTTTAAACACTGCAAAAACAAAAATCTAGACAAGTTAAAATCATTTGGATTAACAAAGTTTGACAATGATTTGAGTAAATTTAAATCAACAAATAAAATAATCTGCCAATGGAACAAGACTTTTTGTTTTAAAATATGAAACTACATCTTGCTGCACTTAAAATAAGAAAGAACACAACTTTTTGCACTTAAAATAAGAAACAAAATCAAATGTTGCTTGAATTAAGGAAAACACACTTATTCCATTGGTAGATCATTTTACTTTTCAAGTTGAATCGACTCAAATAAAGTAAAACATTCTTAATTTAAGTCATTTTAACTTACTTAGATATTGATTTTTGCAGTGAAGCTCCCATATTATGCTATTTTCTGACCTATGTTATAATGTTTCCTCACCACAAACACACCTGGAGTTGTGTTTTGTTTCATTCACACGTGTTTAACACACAAATACCATATTTTCCGCACTATTAGGCGCTCTGGATTATAAGGAGCACTGTCATTGAATGGTCTATTTTCAAACTTTTTTCAAGGCGCATTAAACGAAACACAACAGTTGGATGGGCCAGTGGGACTTTGTTTGTGGCGTTCACGGTGACTCTGGGCTTTGTTCAGTTGTGGCGTGTAGGGAGGGTGCTGTCTGGGACCAACGGATTGTCGGCGTGTTCGCAGTGACTCAGTTGTTCAGTTGTGGCTAGAAGTGGCACATTGCACTCGCTTTTTCAGTTCGTTCTTCTGTTCCATTCCTCGTCTGCGTGGAGTGATGAGTGTGGCGGGTGTTTTTTCGCTGTGCGGTCGCTGTCTGCTCTGTGCGTGTTTGCGTGCGCTGTAGGTTTTGTGGCTTTGTAGTTTACTGAAGTCGTGCTGGGACACCCGAGTGGATTCGTGTATAGGGCGCTCTGGATTGTGGGGCACTTAAGAGGGGCTGGAGGCTTAACAGCGCGTCCTATGGTGTGGAAAATACGGTATTTCAAATTTAGTTTCCTGAGTTCTTCTCTCAAACTGAAAAAATTTAGTGGACCAGGATTACTCAAACATGTGTGAATGAAACAAAACATAACTCCAGGTCTGTTTTTGATGAGGTAACAACATTAAAACATGATTTAAAGCTCACATTAGAGTTAATTTTGTGTGATATTGGACCTTTAAACAACAAAAGATGACAAAAACACATTGAAAAGAAACAAGAAAATTATTGTGAAATCATTTTAACTTATGTAGATACTGTATATTGTTTTTGCAATGTATAACAAAATGACAAAAGACATTACGGTCAAAACAAAGGAATGCATTTCAAACTTGTTATCATACCTCGTACAATAAGCTTATAATTGATTTCAAAATAATAATAATAATACAGATTAAAACAGTAACATCATGGCATGGCTTTAAAATCTTTAAAAGGAATTCAATATACACAACAAAGTTTAAATTATTTGAATTCAGAATACATTGGTTTGAGTAGTTTTGACTCATTAGGTGGATTTATTTTTTATTTGACTGTGATTTGAAGTCAGAGTATAGGTCTGAGATAAGAATTTTGCCTTTGACATAAGAACAGTAGGCCTATATATTTTTTAGATAATTTATAAAGAGAAACAATCAAAACGTATATCAAAAGCAAGTCATACTAACTAGCCCATTAAAGTAAATTTCAATAATAAAAGCAGAGTATGCAGAGTAAAGCTGATCTTACATGCTCCTGAAAGTAACAGTGGAAGTAAACAGTCCACTATTCACGTTAATGGAAAACAAAAATGTACACATTGAGAATACTGATCTCTTCAAATTCAAACAATGACGGAACTTTTTTTAAATCAAACATTGCAGCCAGTTTTGTCAAAATGTCATTCCCTTTAACAATGATCTGCTCCAGTGGCATTGCCTGAGATCCAGAATACACAAACTAACTCAATATTTTATGAAGATGTGAGTCTGGTCTCTGTTGAATGCCCCTGAGTTTAGATGGAGGATCAGAGAAAAAATATCACATGGGACTGAAAAAAGTCGCAAATTTCTGCAGAATCGTCAAATCAGGTCTGTTAATCTGAGGTGAGGGAAACGATCTGTATCATAATAATAATAAATAAATGTGTCACTGAAATAAACAAATGTGTCACTAGGGATGGGCATGTTTAGTCAACTAATCAATAATTGATCATTAAGAATTTCGCCAGTCATGTTCATTTTTAATCGACAAACTGAATGTAGGTTGCTATGCGTAGTGTAAGGAGACAAGGCTGTGTGTGAAACAAACACTGGAGTTGTGCCTCACAGTTCCACGTTTGGGCTCTGGCTCCTTGGAGACACTGTACCACTCAGTGAGTGTGTTTACTGCACATCAGTGTCCCGGGTATGATCGAGTTTTTTGAGTATTCCAGTTTGTTCTGTTCAGCACATGTACAATCTGCACTCGTACAACCTGCACATGTATGATCTCTGAAATTTTTAACATGAACCATCTCCAATCTGTGATACACACGGAACAGACTCACCACCAGCATCATCAACATCCTCTATAGTCAAACAGAAGCTGAACTGCATCAGGGCACAAGGAGTGAGCTGTTTTTTTTTCAGGCTTGCAGTTTATGCAAATGAGCCATGCGGTTTTAAGTTTAGTTTCTGTAAAACATAAACAAATGTGCACAAAGCTGAATTATATTATCAAATGCTGATGTGACTCTAGTAGTAATGGTTTATATGTTTTAAAGTTGTATTTATTTATGCAGATTAATAATAATAATAAAATGATATTTTTTATATAAAAAATTTCAATGATTAATCAAAATCAATCGTTAATTCTCAATTAATGATCAATTAAGAAGATTTAATCAAATACCCATCCCTATGTGTCACTGAAAAAAACAAATCTGATTGGACGATTCGAGATGTGACAGAGGGAGTGGGGACCAGACTGATCCCTCAGTATAAAAAATACAGAGAAAGTACATTTTGGATTTGCCAGGCAAGCCAATGGGAAGCTTCAAAAATATCTTAACTATTATATAATCATGTTTGAGGTCAGGTAACAAATGAAACCCATTGTAAAATATTTTTCAAACAGAAATTCTTCTGAGGAAAGCCACAATGATTTTGGTGATGGAGCAGTTTCGAGTTGCGTTCTTGTGTGTTGTAATTCCGTTTAGTGCTTTAATGCTTCAGCTTTTAACACTTCCATTTTTCCCTATCAAAACAATGTTCTTGTATTTACATGAAGTTCAGTCTCAGCGTGAGAACTTCCGCGGCCTGAAGGGGGGCAGAGGCAGCTGCTGCATCCCAGTCCGCTCCTCTTCGATCGGGGCTAACTCTTCAGCAGATCCCCACTTCTTCTTGGAGGAAAACAGAGACGCCAGCTTCCTGTTCCTGTGGCGCTCGCGGGCCTGGGTCACTGCGTACTCTGGACACAGGGAAACAACAGAAGGTGAATGAGAGTGCTACTGAATTTGACACCGTTACATGGTCTAAACAGAGTACTGTATTCTAATAATACTTGGAATACTTTTACATCAAGTTGCGTTAAAAAAAAGTCACACATGTACACAGTGAAAGAGCTGTATTTTCTTTCGTTCCTTCTTTATTACTAATACTGTGCAGCTCAAAGCCAAAATTGCATGATGAAGAACTTGAACTTTATTCTGAATACTACCAGATTAGAAAATTTGTGTTCTAAATATTGTATTTTCATGACCTGTATTTAGTTATTTCCCAAAACTGCCTATATTAAACATTCTGTATGCAGAAGTTCTATTACCACTGTCAGTGATCAAATTCATACAAACTAGGTCTACAAACTAGGTCATTTGTAAAGTTACAGTACAGTAGATATTTAACACCAGATATTAGTGAGATTAAATGGGCTTTATTCACGTTTACATCACAAAACCAGAAGACATTTTGGAAACATGTGGATGACAACTTCCCATGGGCTCTACTGGCGATAGTATCACTGTAATAATCTGTGAAAACTGAGAAAATGGCCCAGTTTTCTTCATCTAAATGTCACTGTATTCTTTCTTTTTTCCTTTTATAAACTGGCTATTTCTTTGTGTATTATAATTTGTCAAACTTATATAAAAAAAAAAAAACTAAGATGCCTCCTTTGTATTGTAATCGATTCGATACAGTTAAAAAAAAAAAAAGGCTAAATCAAGTCTTTGTTAAACCACTTCTTGTGCAAAGTTCATTAGAAACACAGATTTTACTCATTAAAACAGTGAAAATGTCAAATGTGTTGCATAAGCGAGTTTCCTTCTTCTAAACAAGCAACAAAACTGAAGCTGTAACAAAATAATTTAGTAAAATATAACAAAAAATACTCTTGGTGATATATTGATACAGCAGCCCATGATATTGATACTGAATCATCACATTAAACAATACAATATATCAATATTTTGATATTTTTGCACACCCATAATGTCCAGCGTCAGTAACTACACCGGAAGTCGTCATTCGCATTTAACAAATACAATAGTAAACATAAAAACAAGACAGAAAAGCACAAAACAAAACCTACAACAAACACAGAACAACAAAACTCCCCACCCACAACCCACTCCTTCCTCCAAACACAAAAACAAAGGTAATGTGGTAGTGCAGCACAACCACACCAGCAGGCTTCCCTATATTCATATTTTGACTAATTTATAATTTAATTTCCCTTTCTCCCCCATTTTTTTTTTACTAAACACCATATACCTAACTAGTATTATTTTCATCATCATCATTTCCTTTCTTCATCTTTTACTATTTTCTTTTAAGCAAAATTTTAAAGTCATCACCCGCATATATCCAGTGTCTGCCAGTAAGTGTGAATAGAGTCTATTAAGGGTAGGCAAAATTGACAAAAAGTTATCTAGATTCTTGGGATTAGAGTGAAAGAAATAGATGGGGTAGCCAACTTTTTTGTAAATGAGTAAATTATAATATATTACAAAAGCTGTCACAAAAAGCATCTGCACACTGTCCGTAGCTAATAATAAAGTATTTTCATTTCTCATCAACCTGAGCAAGAGCCAAAAGCAGCGCTCTGATTGGCTGAGCTTGGGCAGTCCACCCCAAAATCATTTGAACATTAATTTCTTGGACCACTACCTTGTACTTCTACTTGAGTAATATTATTCTGAAGTAACATGAATCCAGTTTTTGGCTACTCTACCTACCTCTTTTTATAATGCCAATTGATACCTAACTTTGCATAATCCGTTCAAATACCTTCAGTGGCTTCCCTATTGTGGGACAAATAAAGGATCTCTTATCTTATCTGATGAAGTTTGATAATTGGGTAGTAGCAAAAGGCAGTTAGTTATCTTGAATCTCTTTACCATTACACCTTTGAGTGGAGATGTACTCACGTATGTCACATTCCTCCTCCGACACTTCGGGTTCCTTGATGTTGAGATAGTGGAAAGCGAGATGGCCGCTGTAGTCCCTCAGGTTTTCTTTAGCTCCTGATAAGAAAAACTAAACGTGAAAGTCGACACTGGAGTGAGGAATGCTGTAAGCTGCTTTGGAGATGGTGTAAGAAGCACAAAACCTCATGTAAATAAACCAGGAAAGTGGATTGTGTGGAAAACAGGCAAATCAAACAGAACACAGATTGAATGTGAGTTAGAGCAAAGGTTTAAGACTCAGCCACTGAATTAGGGATGTTATCGGGTCAAATTTAATTCTTCCAACTATTTCTTAGGAGAATCTTGCACAATTACTCACAATTATTGATAACTCAGCTTAAAGATCCTGTACCAGATTTTTTTTTTTCCATGTATTTAAGCAAAATTAGTCTTGGCCCAGTACAGATATATTGTATAAGCATCTTTTGATGTAAAAATGAAGTCTGCATCTAACTGTAAAGTGATAATCAGGAAGTGTACGTTAGCATGTTAGTTGTTGTTAGCTTTACCATCAAGGCCAAACTCTGCTCTGGTCACTGAAAGTTGTGGAAAGTGCTAATAAGCTCTTTGTGGTGAATCATTTGTATGTTCTGAATCCATAAGGTAAGTTAGGAATAACTAAGGGCCACTGCAAACCGTTTCAAATTAACTAGTGTTTTTTGTAAGTTTATATAAACAAAACTGGATTAGTTATACATCATACCATAAGTCCCCACGAGCAGGTCTAGGATATGGCGATGTCCATGTAAGGCTGCGATGTGCAAAGGCGTGTATCCCTGTTTAGATGAAGAAAAATACAGTCAATGACTTTAACATGTACAGTATTTAACACAGAACATTTAGACTTCAAGTCCATATGACAGACTTTTATGTTTTTCTAATTATTACATTTGTTGTGGTAGTAGCTGTGGAAGTAAAGTTGAGAAGTACAAAAATACAAGAAGTAATGCTAAGTTGCAGAGCCAGTTTACGCACAAGGAAGGCGATTTTGGAGTTTAAACTTTCATTTATCAAAATACAAGTGTTACCATTCATTTTTATTGGTCTAATCGTTGATAGTGTGCACTTTGGCCCTTGTTAACATTATGTTTAACTGTATCCACATATGTATGTACAAGGTACTTACATCACATTCACTGTGTCCAAGCAGGAAGTAAAATTATAAACTTCTCAACATTTTAAAACTAGCAAAAACTAAGCAAGTAAAATTCAAACTATAACAACATTAGCTGTATGTTTTAGTGAAATGAGTAGTCTAACCTGTTACATTCACCTTTACAGATTCACAAAGTGTAGAAAGAGCTGAGTACATACCCCCTTTAGTTTCCCAGGCGCAGGAACAGCCAATCAAAACATGAGTGTGAAAAAAAGATACAAATTAGTAAAGGTTAAGACAACACCAGATAATGATTAAAAACATAATTGCTCGGCCAATTCAGTGAAAATTGCTTTCGTTTTCAATGGCGACGCTCTGTTTTGGGAAACAATTAAGATGACACGACATGATTTATTAGCAGAGCCTCAAACACGAGCTGCTGTAATACATTTGCACAGCTGGAGGTTCATTACGTCACCGAGGGAGACGAGCACCCAAGGGCCCAACATCCTGGTACTTACATGCTGAAAGACAAAAATAGAAAAATACAACTGATATTCTAATATGGAACAATTTAAACAATGAAAGCAGAGTAAATGTGAAAGAGCTCTCACTGATTTTGTGTTGACGTCTGCTCCGGCTTCAGCCACTAAAGTGGCCATGTCTTTGTTGCCGTGTTTGGCCGCCCAGTGCAGCGCCGTCTGGAAACACACACCATACAAGTATTAAGTATATAATGTCTGGAAACACACACCATACAAGTATTAAGTATATAATGTCTGGAAACACACACCATAGCAGTATTAAGTATATAACCCAAGACTCGTTTTCATCTGTTGTACTTGTGTATGCCCACAAACAGATATACATAGACAGAACAGGACATACAAACAGGCATACACAGGATTAAGTGATATAAAGTTTGAGAGTACCAGGAGGTGTATTTGGACAGCAGTGGCAGTGCTGGTAGTGGTCAGAGGGGCAAATTGGGCAGATTGGCAGTCTCACTTCCATCTGTTTGCCCCAGGCCAGCTGTGGCTACAATAGAAGCCTAACCAAGTGTGGAGTGAAGGAATAATGCACCAAACTGTAAAACTCTATGTAGTCTATAATGCATTATTATGAGTATGAGTATTAGAGTATTAGAGTATACCGTCATTGGAGCTGGGATTGTTCCTCCCACCTTCACAAAAGCTCTGAAACTGAGCCACTTCACTGTGTATATACATATATACATATACTATGCCATTTAGTGCAATTCTTCAAATGAAAACACAGTTTAGAAGGATTCAGTGGTCCATTCAGAGTTTTAGACAGTAAAGGTAAAACTTTCTTTTAGAATTTATGAATGGAAACTTTGCACATTTTGATGACCAAAATGTGTCTCATACATGTGTCTCTCACTCACTAGTGTCTCATACACATGTGTCTCAGAGGGGAGCGTCCTGCTGCACAGAGCTCAGTGTTTCCTGCTTTTAACACGTTCCTAATTACACAACAACACCTCCCTGTGTCCACTGTGACAGCCCCCGCACCTGTCAAACCCCCGCACCTGTCAGGCCTGAAGATGGATGATGTGTACGTGACCCTGCCCCACCCGACATCTCTGCCCCTGTCAGCTCCTGTCAGGCCAAACCCGGGGACAACACAGACACAAGACACAAAAATGGGGCCGGATCATTTAAATAAAGTTTGTAAAACAGCATCTCACGGCAGCTAACCACAGCCACCTGCCCATTAAAGGCTGCTCCTGTGATCTTCAGTGTTGAACCTGTCACAGTTTAAGTGGAGCAATTATGAGCCATCAGCAGGTGGAACATATGGACTCAATAAGCACTATTCTCTTTAGTCTCTACTGTGAGTGGAAGAATACACACACAGAATTCATCGATTGTCTATTTCACTGGTTCTCAACCTTTTTTCTCCCTAGCGACTCCTATTTTATCTGTGGACAGGCCCCCGCATCATTCTCCTACCTGATAAGTAAAACAGACTTTCAGCTGAAGGCATCAACATTCTCTGGGCGTATGATGCTAACTGTAGGCTCTTCTCTGTCTGAAGCTCTGTTACTCAAGGTAGAATTTAATCTGATCTTTGTTTTAATACGCACTTCATCGCTCGCAGTTAGTCCAGAACTCAGCTGCGCGTCTTTTAACAGAAAACAAAAAAGCGTGATCACATTACCTCAATTCTTGCATCGCTGCACTGGCTTCCTGTTAATTTTAGAATTGATTTTAAGATTTTATTATTTGTTTTTAAAGCTTTGAATGGACTGGCCCCACAATACATCTCAGACCTCATCCAAATTTATACTCCCGCACGCACTTTGAGGTCCGAGGGCCAGCTCCAGCTTCTGGTCCCCAAAACAAGACTTAAAACCAGGGGGGACAGGGCCGTCTTTGTCGCCGGCCCCAAACTCTGGAACGCTCTGCCCCCCCACGTCCGAACAGCCCCCACAGTGGAGAGTTTTAAGTCTCGTCTTAAGACCCACTTTTATTCTCTGGCTTTTAATACAGCTTGAGTTGTGTGGTCCTCTGTGTCTTTTATTTTATTAATTAATTAATTAATTTATTTATTTATTTATAGTTTTTATCTTTTTTTTTTTTGTACTGCTTTTATGTATTGATTTTATTATTTTTGTTCATTGATTTTATTATTATTATTTTATTTATTTTTCTGTCTTTATTAAACATAATTTTGCAGATTTTTTTTTTCTCTTTTTAAAGTAAAATGTTGCATAGCTATGTGAAGCACTTTGGAAACTGTTTTGTTTGTAAAATGTGCTATACAAATAAAGCTCAAAGTTGGATTGGATTAATAAACTTTGCCTAATTTTAGCTGAAACAACAACAGATGAGATGATTTGTGCTGTTAAACACACTTTATAAAGATGGGACTTTTTATATCAATGCTAATTTTAAAGATTAATAAAATAATGACAATACAATCCAAGTCCTTTTAAACAGTTCTCAGAGCCAACTCTGTACTCACACCCGAGCGTTTTGAGTGTCTGTTGAGAGGTCACGACACCACTCACTACGGAGCAGGGACCAGCTTGTCTAACGGCCTCTAACATGAAGGACGGTGTTGTGGTTTTGTGCTGGAGGGAGAAAGACAGAGACAGAGAGAGAGAGAGGAAGTAGTAGACGGACTGTACGTTTGTCATTAAAGGTGCTGTCAGTCTGGCTCCGCTCTGCTCTGCTCTTTTGTGTGTCTGTCAGTCAGGAGATGGATGGGAGACTGGACGGGCACCTGCGTTAGAAAAGAATAGGCTCTGTTCATGTGATGCCGTAACAGTGTAAAAGGACTACGGGCTAAAATCAAGACGAAGGACAGGTTAAAGTCTGTTGTACAATGAACTGTAACAAAGCGAACAAAGGTATTTTCGAGTGGCAGGGCAAAGGTCAATACTACTCTGTTCAACAATGTACAATGTTCATTTTGATACAACAACGCTGTAATTTTGTATTGTAAGAAAGTTTATAATATTTCTACCAGCTCTAGTCTAGTTTTAGTCAACAAGTTGTCATTTTATATGCATTTAATCAACAAAAAATATTGAAAACGTTAAGATAAATAAGTAGGCTGAGCTATTCTGTATAACCACTTCTATAGTTCATTATTGTACCGAGGTCATGTGAAGATAAGGGCTCTGATCACAGCTCTGAGACTCACAGATATATGTCAAGACAAATGCATAAAATTGTAATCTATCTAATAGCAAACTAACTAAATAGGACAAGAACTACTGATAGGGATGATGTCATGATTTGTTAGCCAGATAACAGCCCGTGTGCAGTGTGATTGGACAGTAGTTGGACAATAGTTTGTGTATAAAAGTCATAGTATAGGCGTAAACATTGAGTCTCTGCTTGGGAATGTCAGCACAGACTCCTTGTACATGTATGGCTTTCTAATATTGGAGTAAGTAAGTAAGTAAGTAAGTTTTTATTTAAATAGCACTTTTCACAGACATATGTCACAAAGACACTTTACAGAGCATTATTTATTCACTCCATACTCATTGGCAGTAAGCTACTATTGCAGATTTATGGAAGCACGGCTGCCAATCTGCACCATCTCCGACCACCACCAACACTAACGCACACCACCTTCATACTAGGCCATGTGGGTGAAGTGCCTCACCTAAGGACACAGGCCTGGCCCTGCTTAGTTTCTGAAATCTGAAAAGATCAGGCTGGTTTGAAGCTGGTATGGCCATGTAATTTATCTGGGGTTTATTTCTGTTTTAAGTGTGTTTTTTTAGGAACTAACGAACTAACGAACATGAGAGAAAAAGGCAGTTTTCCTCAACAAAAATTAAATAAATCATATCGCACTTGGCCTGTCACCACTGTGGGACATTATAAGGAAAGTCAAGCAGGTGGCTGTACCTTCTACCAGAAAAATGTACTGCTTTAACTCACAACTTTGGATTGGGTATTTCACTCTGCAGGATAATTTCTATACCGACTTCTTGTTTTATGAATGAAAGTTGGAACAATATACTGTATATAGTGATTTAACCCTTATTGCTTGCATCATTTTGATGTAAAATGAATATTTTTTATTTTTTTTCTTAATTTTTTGTATCGTTAAAGGTACTGTACATTTTATTGTCTTAAATACATGAAAAACAGAACAAAATCATTTTAAACAGTTTGCAGTGGTTCAAAGTTATTCCTCAAAAGTATTCTAATTATTCACCACAATGAGTTTAATAAAGTTTACTAGTGCTTTTCACAACTCTCAGAGACCAGAGCAGAGTTTTGCCGTCACGATAATTCTAACAACAACTAGCATGCTGCACTTCCTGATTCTTGGACAATAAAAAGCTTTATAATCAGATCCAAACAACACGAAGCAGACTTATTTTGACCTCGAGAGCAGCTTTTACGACATATCAGACTAATTTTCCTCAAATACATGGAACAAATCTTATTCAGGGCCTTTAATCATGATATTTTTTATAGCTATGTATCAGTTTGAGTATTTGTTGTTACAGGCCTGGCAGGAGCAGATCCTGTCACCCATAAGACAGATAGCCACAGGGACATTTTGATTGGCAGGCGGGTGATGGACGATATACAGGACAGGATACGTCTCATTTCAGTCTGTACCCCCCTCGGTCCTGCCCTGTCCCATCCATCAGAGGGCCCCTTGTCCCGCCACGCGCCCCAGCCGTGAGGGGAGGCAGCTGGGTACAAAGCCCTGACACAGCCCTGGAGAGGAGAGAGTGATGGAGGAGAGGTGTACTTACAAACTGAAGAGGAGAAGAGGAAGTCCACCACAGCGACAACAGCAGAGCGCATCACCATAGAAAAACACAGGAAGAAAGATGAGAGCACGTTTGTCACAGTTAGGGGAACTGGATTGTCAAACTGTTTTACATAATGGCTGGTAATTGGTTGATTGATTGGTTAAAAACACAACAACGATCAATCAATATGTTGTACAGAGTAGAGGAAAAACAAAATGCTATCTTAGACTTAGACTTGTACAAACTTTATGGATCCACAGTGGAAATTATTTGGACACAGTAGCTCACACATCGTAATATAATATAATATAATATAATATAATAACAAAGAGAAAAAATATAAATGGTAATAATAAATTCTAAGTAAGTAGCAAAAAAGGTAGCAAGAGACAAGCTAAAATGTAACATTTTCCAGCTTTTCTAAAAGATTACTAAAATAAAAATAGAATATCCTGTAGTCTTAAAGCAATTTTTTAATTACAAATCAAAAATGGTGTTACAAAATGGTTGTTAATTGACTGATTGTTTGGTTAACGACAATCAATCAATGTTGTACAGTATAGAGGAAATGTAAGATTACCGTATTTTTCGCACTATAGGGCACACTTAAAAGCCTTTAATTTCATTAAAAAAAAAACCAACTCTGCACCTTATAATCCAGAGAGCCTTATATATGAATTTATTGGGGTGTCTTAGTACGACTTTAGTAAACTATAAAGCTGCACCACTTGCAACATTACGGCTATTGTAGTCAGGAGCATCACGGAGTAATACATACTGTGATTTCTTTTAATATCAAAATGCACCTGTCAAGAGACACGCTCACAACGCCGACTTTAAACTCAAGGCTGTTATAAAGTTAAAGTGTGAGCTGCGTGGAAGCAGTGGATGAGAGAAGGAGAACACCCATTCATCAAGACAGGGAGACAACGCAGAGCGACTTACAGCCAACGGATTGTGTACGCCTGGGCTAAGAATCAGTATCAACTGTGGCCCGAGCTTTCACCGGAAAAGCTAGGAAAGACCGGAATCATCACTGAACTGCCAGGGAACAGAAACCACACTGACTCGGATAATGACGAGAGGGATGTGGGCGTGCTGGATGTCGTAATCGCCCAACTGTTTGAACAATGATGACTTATTGTGAATACACCAACAATTTAGCGTCTCAGACAGGATTTTTTTATGCGTTACAATTGAACAAAGTTGAGAGTTATTGTGAACGCGTTAAATAAAGTTTGACTGACTTATCTAACTGTTGTGTTTCATTTAATGCGCCTTATAGTCCGGTGCGGTTTATATGTGAAAAAAGTTTGAAAATAAACCATTCAATGACAGTGCGCCTTATAATCTATAGTGCACAAAATACGGTATCTAAGAAACGAAAACTTTGGGCAACATATTGTTTCCAATATTATACCAGGGGGTTTCCCAGATATCGGTACAGGTCCGATACTGACAATATAACAGATATTTGGCACCAGTTTTGCCCCAGTCCCTGTGTGACTACGTGTTATTCACGTTTTTTCATGGAATCATACAGATGAGGCGACACCTCTACTGTACCTTTAACATAAATATTAGTTATTGGCCACAGTAACAGACAAATACTGGAAATTGGTATCTGCTTTAAAAAAAAACTACAAAATGATGGGTTCAAAATTGCCCAGTCAAAAATGATCTTAAATGTAGTTCAAAACTTCAAACTAGTGTAATCTTGTCAAAGCCAGTCTGTACCGCTTGCCGCTGTTGTTTGTGTGAGATTCTCCCCCAAATCTGTCAATCCCGACAAACGTTTACAGAGCAGGAAACACTTAAAGAGAAAGCACACAGACTAATCCTTCTTTTTACTCTGGAACACATGTTAGAAAGTACACTGCCCTCTGCTACTACTCATCAGTCATAAAGTGATGTGAGGATGTCTACTTTTGGATACTAAACCAGGACTTAACCAGGTCTAAACCAGAACTAAACCAGGGACCGCCAGGGCTAACTGGGACTAAACCAGGATTAAAACAGGAGTACACCAGGACTAAACTAGGACTAAAACAGAACTAAACCATGACTCAACCAGAGGGCACCAGGACAAAACTGGGACTAAACCAGGACTAAACCAGAACTGCACCAGGACTAACCCTGGACTCAATCAGGACTCAACCAGGACTGCACCAGGACTAAACCAGACTAAAACTAAACCAGAACTAAACCAGGACTAAACCAGAACTAAACCAGAACTAAACCAGAACTAAACCAAGACTAAACCAGAACTAAACCAGAACTAAAGCAGCACTGAAACAGGACTATACCAGGACTGCGCCAGGACTAAACCGAGACTAAAACAGGACTACACCAGGACTAAAACAGGATTACACCAGGGAGCACCAGCACTAAACTGGGACTAAAGCAGCACTAAAACAGGACTACACCAGGACTGGTCCAGGACTGCACCGAGACTGCACCAGGACTAAACCAGGACTAAAGCAGCACTAAAACAGGACTGAACCAGGACTAAAACAGGACTAAAACAGAACTAAAACAGGACTAAAGCAGGACTAAAGCAGGACTACACCAGGACTAAAGCAGGACTACACCAGGACTAAACCGGGACTACACCAGGACTACACTGGGACTTAACAGGGACTAAAGCAGGACTACACCAAGACTACACCAGGACTACACCAGGACTACACCAGGACTACACCAGGACTACACCAGGACTACACCAGGACTAAACCGGGACTACACCAGGACTACACCAGGACTAAAGCAGGACTACACCAGGACTACACCAGGACTAAACCGGGACTACACCAGGACTACACCAGGACTACACCAGGACTACACCAGGACTACACCAGGACTAAACCGGGACTACACCAGGATTACACCAGGACTACACAGGGACTAAACCTAGACGAAAGGACTACACCAGGACTAAATCGGGACTACACCAGGACTACACCAGGACTACACCAGGACTACACCAGGACTACACCAGGACTACACCGGACTACACCGGACTAAACCTAGACTAAAGGACTACACCAGGACTACACCAGGACTAAACCGGGACTACACCAGGACTACACCGGGACTACACCAGGACTACACCAGGACTAAACCGGGACTACACCAGGACTACACCGGGACTACACCAGGATTACACCAGGACTACACCGGGACTAAACCCGGACTAAAGTAGGACTACACCAGGACTACACCAGGACTGCACCATCATAAATCATGGATGGTTTGGGATCACAGGAACACATGTACATTTCCAAGCTGATTCATCTAGTACTTGAGTTGTTTAATTATAACTATTTGAATTAAATATATTATTTTTTGCTTACACTATTGTATATTCCTCAAGTAGGAGTTAAAGTATAGTGTAGCTAAAAAACTGTAGTGTTTTGGTTGGGGGTTCATCACCTGCTTGTTTCTATGGAGATGCCACTGCTTTGCCTGGAATGTTCCACTGTATGACATTAAACTGCTCCACTTTATGCATATTCGATTACAGGTGGTTTTATAGCTCAAAAATACCTAGAAAAGGCCTGTAACCTTGGTCTGGTTTAGTTTGATGATGAAAAGCACCTTTAAAGAGCCCATATGATGTTATTTTCTGATCTACGTTATAATGTCGTTTCCTGGTTTAGTCTCGCTTGATGAGATAACAACATTCTAACGTGGCTAAAAGCTCACAAGAGTCAATTTTGTCTAATATAAGGCCTTTAAAAGAGGTCATGGTACATTGAAATCCACATGTGTTTAGTATCCAATATCTGACAGCTGCTCTTCCTGTTGGCTGCGTGTTCTATCTGCACCATCTCCACCAACAAACTTCAAAGCGCTCCACAAAAGTCTTAACACCTTCCCGGGGACAAGAGCCGCATTGTTCTCCAATTAATCCCAGGCTGCTCTATTACTTTCAGATTATCCTTAAGTGGGAGAAATCTAAAGGCATTTTCTTAATCCCCTCATCTCCCATGCACTTCAATGGCTGCCGGGGCTATCTTGTCCTGTGCGGGTGTGGTTATAGGCTTAGGTCCAGTCTTAGAAGGTGGTCTGCTGCTTGGTCACCAGCGTGGTTGCCAAGTTTGCTTCTTTATAGCAGCTTCGGGCTTCTGCTGTTGTAAAGTCGCTTGCAAATTTTGAGTTTTTTCTGGGCTTGCTCCCGAGCGGCTGCAAGATGACTCACAACTAGGGCTGGGTATCATGAAGAAGTTTCCGATATGACACATACCTCGATAAACAGGCCACAATACGATACATATCTCGATACACTGCACTTTCAATTCGATACAATATATTTCAAATTGATTCGATACAGTTCAATAAAAAATAATTGCTAAATCATGGCTGTGACACTAAAAGTCTTTGTTAAGCCACTTCTTGTGTGAAGTTCATATGAAACAAACATTTTACTCATCAAAATGACAAATTTGTTGCATAACCGAGTTTCCTTTCTCTAAAGAAGCAACAAAAATGTAGCACTGTAACAAAATAATTTAACAAAATATATTAAAAAAATACTCTTGGCGATATATCGATACAGGAGCCCCTGATATCGATACTGGTTCATCACATTAAACAATACAATATATTGATATTTTGATATTTTTGCACACCCCTAATCACAGCTGAAATGAAATCGCAATTTGAATGCACGCAATTAGTACAATAAGGGCCTGCTTACACAACAACTTTTTTTAGTTGAAAAGGTGGTTTGTATTCGTTCTGGCCTTTCGTCCACATGGAGCCAGCATTTTGGGAGGGCAAAAACGGTGTTTTGTGAGAACAGGTCCAGAGTGGAGAAATCTGAGAACCGACGTTGCGTTATTGTGTGGACAAGCAAACCACAGCTTTTGGAAAACGATGCCATCGCCAGGGTCCTCCGATGCAACGAAGGCTGCAGCCCTCAAACTAGCCTCTGCAAACCACAAGACATGTGACAGGTGTAATCCACGGAGCTGCTCCCGTCGCTACATCCAGGAGTGTTGTTGTGTGGACGTAGCCTAATTCTCTCCAGACAACAAAATCTCCTGTTTAACTGCTCATAAAAATGGGTTAGGGTTAGTAGTTTAGATCTGTTCTGAAATGTGATTCTTGTATTAAATTGTCAGTTCAGATTTCAGTTTTTTGTCAATTCTTCTGGACACAATTCTATATTGTATAATGTTTTTCACATTAATAGACTCAGTAATGTAAACTCATTGACGTTGAAGACTCTCTACATATTTTTTTTACAGTCATTAATACGTAAAAAAAATAACTAGTTCCTTTTTAAAAAATTTTGCAGGGGCCCCAAAATATTCCTCATGTACATTCAGAGCATCCTAATGACTCACTGTGACGAGTTTAAGCTGACAACAACTTCCTGATTACCGGACACTCACCTTTCTAATTCGATGCGGATAGTACCTGGCTGACTTATTTCGACCTCAAGAGCTGCTTATAAACTATATTTGTACTGGAGCGAGAAACATTTGGGAGAAAATGGTTTTACTAGTAGTTTACTGGGCTTCTTTTTGTGTACTGCTTTGGGGCTGTTTTTTCTTGGTCGCTCGTTGCTGTCTGAATATCTGGCAACCCTGGTCCTGAGCCATGAGGACAGTGTGAGAACCCGAAGCCAGAGGGGGGACAACAAACATGGCTGAAATCTCTTAAGCGCACACAGGGACAAATAAAAGGATTTGGGTTGTCAAGGGGCACAGGAGCTAAAAAGCTATCTGTCCATAATCCTTTTGATAGTGGAGCTTTGAAATGCATGATCTGGCCATGTTAAACACTGGCTCCCCGAAAAGGTAGGAGATCAAATGTCTATACGCTATTGAAATAACTGTTTTGAAGATTAGAATATAGAGTTTCATCACATAAAAGGACAGATGTGTAGTACTTAGTTACATTTACTTGAGTAACTTAAAAATGGAGTGTGTAGCCTGTGTAGTTTTCAAAGGCTACACAGGAGGCTATACTTTAATAGGGGTGTATCGATTAGGGGTGTGCAAAAATATCAAAATAGATCGATATATCGTATTGTTTAATGTGATGATACGGTACCAATATCATCGGTTCCTGTATCAATATATCACCAAGAGTAACTTTTGGTATTATTTAACTAAATCGTTTTGTTACAGCTACAGTTCTGTTGCTATTGCTGTTGTTGCTTGTTTAGAGGAAGGAAACTCATTTACGCAATACATTTGACATTTTCGCTGCTTTGATGAGTAAACTGGGTGTGTTTCATATGAACTTTGCACAAGAAGTGGTTTAACAAAGACTTTCAGTATCACAGCCATGTTTTAGCCTTTACTTTTTATTGAACTGTATCGATTTGAAATATATCGTATTGAATCGAAAGCTAACTGTATTAAGATAAGTATCGTATTGTGGCCTATGTATTGAGGAATGTATCATACCGCCAACTTCTTAAAAATACCCAGCCCTAGTACTGATCCCGGTGTTTAGGGACTGAAAAAGGCATTTTATTTCAAAATACTGTTAACTTATTACAAAATGTATCCAATACTGATATTTAACTGTTGAACTGCTCTGTATGAATAAAGGTTCCAAAAAAATTTAACATTTCAGGCCAACATAAGTCATTCATAGTAATTAGTCCTGTTACATCCCACAAACCCACCAAGACTGAACCGATATCATGGAACCGACGCCTGATCCAGCTAATTTTCCTGGATTCATGCCGATATTCAATAACAATATTGGAGGATCATTAATCCTGACTCTGGCATCTTAACTCTTGCACGTCCCAGCCTGACAGCTGGGACATGAAACAAGTAAATCTTATGTTATGCCGAACTGAAATTATATGTTTTTACCTTTTCTAACAATATTCTTAAAACTGCCTGACTTTGACATGATTCCATACTTTATTGCTTTCTGCAGACATGTTGTAGGTGCACTATAAGAAACTTTTAATGAGAGGGGCCTACCACCTGCATTTATTCTATTAAATGTTTTTAACTGAAAAAGACACCTGGAAAAACATGCATTATAGTGGTGAAAAAAACTATCACCTCTCCACAGAGCTGAACTGTTACGTGGCCTGGTGGCATTATCTGCATTATCATCGTTAATCAGGATTATCATCATTAAGCCATAGTGTAAACTACTGTCATACTGTCCAGATAGATGCAATCACATTACCATGACAACCAGCAGGTGACAAACCCTCCACCAGAAATGTACCAAAGTGGATCTTTAAAGACTACTATAAAAAATGAATCTCTCCACAGTGAAATCTTTACATTTGTGTCTTAAATCAGCTTTTGTAGAGTAATTTTTTTTTTTTTTTTTACAATATTTGCATTCATTTGCATATAGTGGAAGAACAGAACAAATTGCATTAACTCACCCCCTGAGAAACAGCCATGTGCAGTCATGTCAGCAGACACAGTAAGAGAAAAGAAAAGAACATATTAGTCAAGTTGATGGTAGGCTACAGATAACACTAAGTTATAGCAAAACCTAACTAACTTTGTCGTCATAAGATTTGGAATTGATTGAAATAAAAAGAAATACTCACTGAAGTAAAGTCCTGGATTTCCACATAGAAAGAACAGAAAGAAAAGCAGGATTAATGTGACATGTACAAAAACAGTTTAGTCAACACCTAAGCTGTAAAAACAGGCATGAAAACAAGGAGCTTTTCATTGATGTGACTAATGCAAACCGCAAACAGCTGACAGCATAACAACCACAAAGGACATATTTAGCTGATACTGAAAAACACATCAAATAAATAGAAAAAAATGACCTTTCCTGAATAGTTTTAGAATTGTCTTGATCTGAGAGTACATAGTAATATTAAAGAAATTTAATTTAAGAGACAACCTAGTATCTAAGAACGTATGTTTCTTTTGACATAGTACTGAAGCAGTATTAACACACATCTTGGTATACTTGGTGTACTACTTGGTATACTTGGTATACTTGGCATACTTGGTGTACTGGAATCAGGATTAATCATGTGTAATTCCTGTAGAATGCTGTGTGTAGAATTTGTTTACATTTCCTTCCCATTTGAAGTCTCCTCCATCTGCCTCACAGATGCTTGTATTTACCATTTAAAACAAGCTGATCTCATGTTGTTAGATTTAAACACGTTATTGACAAAGGGATTTTGATTTCAGCTGTTTGCAATCTTGTCAAGAGGATCGTATTGATAAATGCTACGAAACTGAAAGAATACAAATGGTTTAAGTAATACCAGCAATAGCTACTATGTGTTTGTTAAGTTAAGTTTATTACATTTATATCAAATAGTATGTTGATGATAATTTGTTTAGTGTGATTGCAGAAGATAACTTTTAATAAAACTTTTATTTGAACAATTTTAGAATAATTTTAATTTTTTACCCTTTTTGCCTTGTCAAAACCTGCACATGTGTGAACAATGTAACTATTTACATGTCATTACAATAATCTGATAACTACAGAAATCAGTTTAGTTCAAATTTTCAGTGTACATGTTAACACAGCCAGTGTAATTTACCCAATTCCTTTGAACAATAAAATTTCAACCTTGATTTCGACACCAAGGAATGGACTTGATACCCAATTGCGATAACACAGTGATAATAAAAAGCACTCTTAATTTTGACAATAGAATGTGATTTTCTACATTAAATCGTAGTACTTTCTTTTATATTCCCATGTGATCTTATATGTGTGTACCCCCTCTGTGGTCCAAGGTCTTATACTTGTTCTGATACAGCTCAAGATCATTTTAAAGACATTAAGGAAAGCTTCATTTCTGTCCTGTGACTGGAACTTCATTACTATCGATACCTTCTCCAATGAGTATCTAGATTCAATACTAGTTTTACTCAGTTAAATTCAATTAGTATCTGACTTTCAATACTTTTACCAACTCCGCTAATTTGTTGATAATGTTGATTTTTAAGGTGGAGTTACCTTCTTGTTGGCGAGAGTGGGGTCCTGTCTGAGCAGATGGGACAGGTCTGGAACTCTGGCTCCTGCTGCAGAGTAGATCCACTCCTTCTCCACAGGGTCCAACTGAAGCACAGGTACAAGGCTCACTCAGTGGGTTTAAACGCACAGAGAAGAAGAATCCAGTAATAATAATGATGATGAGGGCTAAACTACATGTAAACCTGCCAAGATCCTCAGTGTTTAATGGAGCTATGATCGAGGCCGCTGTGTGAAAAATACTATACTACATGAGACCTGCTACAACTGCATATACACTGTGTTAAAGCTTCTCTAGATAGATAGTAGATAGATACTCAGACAGTGGCGGTTCAAGGATTTTTCTGACACCGGACCATTAGTATGGTGCAAATACAAGCTTAGACAGTTAAAAAAAAAAAACCTCCACAGGTTTGTTTCTTCTCCCATTAAGTTGTATTGACACAATAGGTCTACTGCCGCCAAGAGTTTTGGGGTGGAATTGCATCAGTGATGGTTGAATTCTGGTTGTTCTTCTCGTCAGTTGAATACCAGAATAGGGTCACTTCGGAGGCCCTTTCCTAGAACCGCCCCTGTACTCAGAGAGTTGGTGACAATTTCAAGCTCAAGTTTTATATTAAGGAAAAGCTCAATACTGGTCAAAGCACTTTTCTATACAAATGACCTACAGTATGAGTAATAATTCCCCCTGTATTAATACTTGTTCAAATGAGTATCAGTACATATCTTTGCAGAATATCTTGATCCATCTTCCCTATGAATGTGGTGCATAAGTGACTGTTTATAGTTCTACTGATACCATGTGTTTGCCATAATAAAAAATAGGAAGTGAATGAATAATGTACAGTATTTTCCAGACTATAATTCGCTCCGGACTATAAGTCTCACTTTTTGGGGAAATGTATTTTGTAAAATCAGAGACCAGGTACCAACATTTCATCTTGAAAGGCAAGTTATAGTAATAACAATAGAACAGAGAACAACAGGCTGAATAAGCATTAATATGTTAACTTAACATATTAACAGTTATTCAGATAATTATAGCATAAACAACACTAGAAAAGCACTCAGAGAGCGCAGACCTCCGCCAAGGACTACCCCCATTTTTTATATAAATTGCGATAAAATCAGTCTTCTGGATCAGATCCGGATCAGCCTTTGGAATATGAAAGAGGATCCTATTGTCCATCCCTGAGTCAAATTTCATGGGGTTTGGTCAATAATTAACCGAGATATTGAGAAACAAAATTTTTGGCCCCATTTACCACAATGTTAACTAAAATTTCAAAGTGATCCAGAATCCAGGATTTCTTCCGGATCACCCCCAAAATGAAATCAGTTCTTCCTTTTCACATTTCCAACAAATCCTGAAAATGTCATCAAAATCGGTCCATAACTTTTTGAGTTATGTTGCTAACAGACAAACAAACAGACAAACGCCGGCAAAAACATAACCTCCTTGGCGGAGGTAATAACATAAGTTTACCAAACTCACAATCTCATTCCAAATCACTAAATCCACTGAATTCTTCATCCTTGGTGTCACTTCTGAACAACCTCCGAAGATAAACCATAGATCCATGAGGTGAAAAGAACGCTGCTTCCTCTTCTGTGTAGCTGTCGTCAGACTCAACATCAGTTCCAGTTAGAATTATTCCGGCCTTTCTAAATCCCAACAGGATGGTTTCGATTGTCATTGAAGAAGGGGCTTTGTCGATTCGTCCAGTGACTTCCAGGAAAGTTTCATGGCGCACCTGTCCGGTTGCCGTGAAGCTGTACTCTCCATCCCCGCTTTCTGCCATGCGCAGTAGAGTGCAAAGTGACAGTGGTACAGGAGTAATAGTAGTACTAAATACAGACACACGAACCTAGAGCGCCCTCTCACGGCTGTCAGTCTGAAATTTTTTATATATAAGGCGCACTGGAGTATAAGTCACACCGGAGTATAAGTCGCAGGACCACCCAAACCATGAAAAAAAAGTGTGACTTACAGTCCAAAAAATATGATAATGAATAAAGCTCTGTACCCTGGAATAACTATGTAATATTCTGAAAAACTTACAGCCACAGACGCTGAGCCCATGCTGCCGGTTGACTCCTCGTCCTGCTCCGACTCCGACTGAAAAACAATGAGACCAGATTAGGTTAGGGTCACTCTGTATAACTCTGTGTTACTGTGTATAACTGTGTGTAACTCTATTCTGTGTGCAAGCGCTCTATAACCAGCAGCATGACACAGTGTGACAGTGATTCAGACATATGAGACTGCCTATTCACACACTGCACTGCAAAACAGGAAGATTCTAGAGAAAAGCACCTGGATTCAGGATATTATTAACTGGCAGAACACTATCAATACTAGTAATTAAATATCTTCTACTAGTAGTGTTGAAGAAAATTAACAAAATTTTCCCTAACTAAAATTTCAAACCCCATTTCGTACTATGGAATAGACTTAATAGTCAATACCAATTCTGATACCACTATGATCATAAAAATTACTCTTTATTTAGACAAGAGAATGTGATTTTCAACAGTACTTTCTTTTATTTACAATGTGTTCTTATATCTGTGTAATCCTTCAGTCGTCCAGGTAGGTTCCATAGTGGTATAATCATTCTAAAGGTTCATTTCTGTCCTGAGAATGTGACTTTTTTTTTTGTCGTGATACCTGCTCAAATAAATATATATATTCAATATTAATTTTAGTATTGATTAGTATCTGATTTTCTATACTTTTGACAAACCTACCTTCTACTACTACTGGGCAAATCTACTACTAATATTCCAAATGTGAGTACTTTTTGCTCCTGTTTTCTCTTGTTTTTACAGTGTGTTTTCACAGACACACACAGAGTGACACAGCGGTGATGATTCCAGTTGACAAGAAGTGATCTGAGGGCGTCAACATGGAGCTACAATCACAGAGGAGGAGGAGGAGGTTTCACACACGAGGGATAACCAATCACAATCCAATTAACTACTGACTGGAAAACACAAGCAAATGTCTACAAGGATTAAAATAACATTCAGGATAGATCTGGTTTGAGTAGTTTTGATAAATTTAGAAAAGGTTGACTTGTATTAAGATATTGATATATGATTACAATTTTTTAAGAATATGCTGCTGACATAGCCATTGTTTCTTATTTGCTATTTCTTTAACATCAACCAAGACAGTTATTGGCACATTTGAACAGTTTGCAAGTTTTTAGGTGGTAGGTTTGTCAAAGTATTGAAAATCGGATACTAATCGACATTCAAACTAGTATCTTAGTATCTAGTGTCTAACTCTTGTGGGTAAAAATGACAAAATATTTTATCAGAAGTGTCTTTTCGTTTTTGGGACTTAAAAACACAAACATCTGAAACCACCCTCCAGAGTGGAAAACCTGAATACGCTCCGCAGTAACGTTTCTGTCCACACTGCCCAAGACGCAAAACTCTGGTCAGATCTGCTCACGTCGCGTACGCGTTTATGTCACATACATCACCACTTAGCCGCCTGGCATGCATACACAATCGAATTCCACACACATTTGGGTCACCGTATGGATTTCCTCCCGAAAATGCTCGTCTAAACGCAGAATAAAAATTGAAGACGAGACGCCACTTTTGCGTCTTCTGTTCAGACCGTCATCATATAAACATAGCCTCAACTAGATACTCATTTGAGCAGGTAGGTTACATGCTGCTATTACGACATGCCGCTATTTAGACATTGACATCTAATTGTTGGAGTACTGGCATAAACATTACTTATCAAGCGTCCCACTACTTCAACTTTTTTTTTTTCATTGTTGGAGTAGCTGCACTATTTTTCAAACATTCCGCCTTACCAGCATGAATAATATTAATATGATCGTCTGTTATACTTGGCGCTTCTGAGCCGTGAGAAACAGAGATGCATTTTAAAAAAGAGCATAGGCCAGCCTTCAAGAAAATATCTAATCTTCATTTCAATTTTTAGTTGGTCTGCCTGTCGGAAAACCAGCACATCTAAAGAGAGGCATGACATAATAAGCGTAATAAGAGATGTCGGAATAGGTGGCGAACCCAGAGCAGGTATTGATATTATGCCCATGGACCACTATGGAACCTAACTGAACCACTGAGGGATTACATGAATTTGAAATTTTAATATCACGATAACACTTTCAGGTAGATGGTCCAAAACCTTTTCTTCATGGAGGTGTTGATGGTTTGCCTGGAATGTGTGCCAAACCAAGTATTGTTTGGCAATAAATACACCTGTAATTGAATGAAGATAGATACATTTATACTCTACTGTGGAAAATCGCTGTTGTCTCCTAAAGATAAATTGATTAGTTGATAAAAAGTAGGCCTCAAAATGATTCTGTATCTAAGTGTATCTGACCCAAACTGCACTCACAAGACTACACCTGCAGGGGGAGTTCATGCAAACACTACTATTTATGCAGAAAAAAGTACTAAGAAGCAATATTAAATTTCAGACAGGCAGAACAGACTATGTAATGTGACCTTTTAGACAGAAATACCCCAAAATACCAAGTCTTCAGCTAACTTCTCCGACTTCTTCTAATGCAAAGTTTGGTCGACTAAAATTAAGACTATCAATGACTTACAAACCTAGCACTTTTAACTCACAGAATCAGTTTACTCAGTGTATTCCTTGTGTATTGTGTCACCATTATGTCGGTGTAAAACTCAAACGCACTACGGCTTTCCCAGACGTCTACAAAATGTCACTCGGGCTCATTCAGATGAAAGCCCACACTGTTCATTCTTTCTTTTTAGTTCCTCATTTGCAAATTGTTCTCAGATTAAACCAAACACCATGTTAAAACACTACAGGCCTTTGAAATCCGCTCCACAGACTGTCACACGTCACACAGGAGAACGGGAAAAGTGGAGCGAGTATTTGTGCAGCCGATTTCAATCTGACACAAGAACTTTTAAAACATTTGAGCACGTTTTAGCTTTTAGTTTAATTATAAGAGGGATGGAAGTCATCGAACAGTGCTGGGAAGTCTTCAGTTTATGGAAGAAGTGGATCATGTCATTGAAATAGCTATAATGTTCTGTCTAGTGTTATCACAATATTAAAAATTCCATCTCAATTTCAACACTAAGGAAAAGGGTACTAGATAATAGATAACAGTTTTGATTACACAATGATAGTAAAAAAAATATGCTTTTAGACAATAAACTGCCATTTCAACACAAATAAAAGTATTATCAGTCTAGTATAATTGTAAACATTCTTTTGTATTAGATACAAATAAATGTCTAATGTTGATACTAGTTTAATATCAGATTTTTTATACTTATAACAACCCTGGCAATGGGAACGGTCACATTTTTATATAGCGCTTTTCCAGCTTCAAGGCACCCAGAGCTCTTTATATGAAAAAAACACTCACCCATTCACACACACATTCACACACCAATGTACGCAGACACTGGGAGCGAGGTGGGTAAAGTGTCTTGCCCAAGGACACAACAACAGCTGTGTCTGTGGGAGCTGGAGTCGCACTGCATCGACGTGTCTGTTTCAAAGTGAAATACGCAAACTTAAAGCAGGCTATTAACAAAAACAGAAGACAGTTTTGCTTCACATCACTGCTGTCTTTGGTGACTGACACACCAACATAGAGATCGCTAGATTCCTCAAACATGCAAAGATGACATGTAAATCCACTTCAGGCATGTGTTTGGTGAACAACAGTGAAAGCATTTTAGTCTCATTTTATTACATTTGATTGTTCAAACAGAAACAAAGCGTAAAGGTTTATTTAAGGATTTAAAGAGAGTAAAGGGAACAAATGTGTGTAGTTTCAATTCTGTAGTAAAAATGATAATACAAATACAGCTATGGGAGTACTGTTAAAGTTTAATTTGCATGAAATGTGTATTGCGTTTTTGGACTTGGTTCATGCCTGGTCAGAGTAGTTTGAAATGCAAAATGAAGTACAAACTTTGCACTTGCCAATGACAAATCTCCTTAAATGTGTCACAGATTTGAAGGTGTAATACACAAGGCTAAACAGTGCTATTAACATCTTATTACCCCTTCTGTAGGCAGAACCCAGAACCCAGGATCACAGATAGTGGATTAGACACCTGAAAATATGAAATATCCTGGTGAATTTTGCTCAATTATTGCACTAATACAATACAGTGTTAAGATTTCACACATCACAGTCAAACTATTATAAGCAGATTATTCAGAATCTATGAGATTTTCACTTCAGTGGTCAATACTGCAAGACAATGCAGATTTACATGAGAAAAGTTATGCCACAGAAGGTACAGTCAAAACTCTGACGCTGTGTCCTTAGATACAAGACACTTTGCCTTGTATGAAAGTGGTGTGCGTGAGTGTTGGTGGTGGTCAGAGGGGCCGATGGCGCAGACTGGCAGTCTCTCTTCCATCAGTCTGCTCCAGAGCAGCTGTGACTACAACAGAATGTGTGGAGTGAATGACTAATGCCTACAGTGCAGCGCTTTGAGAGGCTTTGAGCAGCCTATAAAGTGTATTACCAGTGTAAGGCATCGTCATCAACACATGCACATTACAAGTTAATGCTGAATGAAATTGTCAGACATGTTTATTGCGTTCATTAATCACCTTGTTTACTTGATAGAGTCATGGATGGTTGTAGTTGTTTGAAATGCAAAAGAAAATACCATTTGTACTAGACCACGACAAATCCTCCTAAATGTGTCAATGTGTCTGTTTCAAGATGAAATACACAAAATGAAACTGGGCTATTAAGACAAAGTGTCAATAATCAACATAATATTCATAGCAATGATTTCACATGCCTGTCAAATCATTGTTGGTTGAAAAGACACCAATGGCTGGTATATAGAAAAATACCTGCTCATTTTTTTATATAATATTAATAGAAAAAGTGGCAAAAGTTAACTAAATAATTAAATAAAAATAATAAAACAATTTATTCCAGTGTATACTGCACACTCTTTTGAATGGTAAATATTTGTATTAACTTTAGAGGCAATATGTTTAAAAGTTGTTTGAAATAGGAAGGGTAAAATAACCCTAATATACTTGTAATGAATCCATGAATCACGTTGTGTATTTGAACCATGGTCGTTGTTGCAGTTGTTTGA